CCGCCGCTCGGCCTGGCTCTTCCCTAACAGTGTGCTGGCGGGCCGGCTCGTCTAACAAAGCAGCTGTTACCAGCGGCAGCGGCAGGCGCTCCCTCTGTTGCGAGTGCGAGGCCGCGCAGCCGCGCCAGCCGCGCAGGCAGGCTCCTCAGCCGCCGCCCGTCAAACTTCCCGTGCCCGCAGGAGATCGGGCAGCGCCTGGGGCCCTTTGATCTGTCGGCGATTCCGATCGGCGCGTACGAGCCCAGGGCCTTCATGGCGCCGCAGGTGCGCCGGCTGACGCGGCGGGGCGTGGGGTTGCTATTGCCAACCAAGGCGGGTACATGATGGCGGTTTGAAGAACCTTGGTTTTGGCACAACAGAACCTGAACGTTGGCTTTCTTGATCGTGGGGATGCATATGTGCTTTCACTGCGGTACTCCATGCGTCGGCCTGAGCACTCCCGAGCACGCCGTACTGCCGCGCAACACGCATGCACCGTCGCGCACGCGCCGCGCCGCCCGCACCCGCCGCCGCAGCACGTCGGCCCCGACGAGGCCGTGACGATCCACCGCGACGTGCGGTCTCGCCGCTCCATCGCCATCCACTGCTGCACCTTCCACCTGACCCTTGGTGAGGGGCGCACGAAAGCCGCGGGGCCGAGCTGCGCCGCAAAATGCGGATCCTATTTGCCCGCTTGGCCAGGCACAGCAGAGAGACCGGCGAGTCGTGCATGGCAGCTGGTGTTGGGCCAAGCTTCGCTTGCTTGCTGCAGCCTCCCCCCTTTGTTTCCGCAGTGAGCCCACGTTCCCATTTTTTGTTCATCCGATGAAAAATGATTGTTGAACTCACAGACCACCCCTCAATCTCAATTCCTGGGTCTTGCCCGCCGACCAGAGCCCCTGGACGAGCCGCCGGCGCTGCTGGCGCGCGAGGCCGCGGCGCGGGGATTGGCGGACGATGAGTTTGTGTGCCTCCAGCACGGCGCGATGATGACGGTGGGCATCGGCCTGCGGGGCGTGGAGTGTCGGTTGCGGGACCCCAGGGCTGCTTGACGCGAGGCCGGCACCCATGTTTGACCAGTTGCTGTCCGGCCTGTCGACTCAGCGTTAGAGTTATTGCGCTTGATGCCTGCTCGGACGCCTGTCGTTTGTGTACGTGCGGAGAAGCGCGGCGTGGCTGGAATGGCGAAAGAACTGACACGTGCCAACAAGATCGCTGCTGCTTGCACCTTGTGCCCTCGCTGGCCCTCAGGTGAAGGACGGCGCCGTCGTCAACTCGCCTTTGCAACGCCTGCCCCTGCCGCGGCCCGCAACCGATGCTGGCGAGCAGCAGCAGCCGCAGCCGCAGCAGGCGGCGGCGTCGCGTGGCGTGGGGCTGGCTGCATCCGATGAACTGTGATTGCTGGACATGAGTGGCCCACGAGGGGCAATTTCCCATCACTCTTCCCAAGGACCAGGCATATATATTTTTTTGTTTGTTTTTACTCAGCCAACATCATATTCTTCATAAGTTATCGCGCGAGGCGGCGGCGCACACGGCAATCGCCATGGCACGCGCCCCTCGCGTTTTGAAACTTCATGCGAGCGTGATGCAGCAGTGATGGGCCAGCACGATTCTGGTGCAGCAGTGCACCAGACCTGAGCAACATCCTCAGGCCACCAGTACGGGTGTGCGGGCGGGCGGGGCAGCGGCTGCTCAGATGCACGCGCCCACTGCCCTGCTGCCCATCCATGCATCTGCATGCTTTGCTTCAGGTCTAGGGCTTGAGAGGCTTATTGTGACCAACACGAGAGGGCACGTGAATATCGCGTCGCTAGGGCGCTTTGGGGACAGCTCGATGACGGAGCAGTGTGTAATATACGGCAGACCGCCGGGCGATGAGGCCTCCATGGGCGCCGCGGAGCGAGTGCCTCAAGGTCTGGGGCGGCGGGCTTTGACCGCGCGTGACGCGAGATTTATGCAGACACTGCTCCTAGGCCCCTTGGTGTGGACCGCGGGAAGGTGGTCAATCCGTGGAGCGTGCATGCGGGCGCCGCCATTGTGCAATCGCGCCCATGAAAGCTCATGAGAGAGGGACGTGGGAGGGGCCAATAGGGCTACACTCGTAGTTTGACAGCGCGTATGATGGGGGATTGCACATGTGCCAGGGCCGACAGCTGGGAGATATGCGTAAGGTACGCAAAACAGACTGGTCAAAAGTTGTGCTGTGCCTCATCAATAGTAAGGGAAGTTGCGCAGGCATCTGTTGGGGTCCAAGAAAAACTCTGTCCCCGAGAGGGCAGCGAGCGGCTTATCATGGCCTCGCCACATCTGGTCCGTGAGTGCGAGAGCTCTGCAACTTGCCCAACCTTTGAAAGTTGGCAGCTGTGGCGGAGAGCAAAGAGCAGGCCCGAGCCAACAGTCGGGCGTTGAGACCCTAACGGGCCTGATTGGCTGCTTTCGCTGCCGTCGGCAGCGCCGTTGCGGGAAGCCCCCCTGGGGCCGCCTCTCTGGGTCAAGGCGTCAAGCACGCCGATGGGCGCGGAGGTCAGTAAAACACTGGGCGCGGCCGTGACCCGATTCCTCCATACCGCCCCAACGAGCGCCGTATGCTGCTGCCGCCGTCCGTCGCCAAGTCAAACGCGCGGGCGCTCCGCGGATCGCGCCGGCCCGCGCCCGGGCCGGCGTAGCCGTAAGCATCGGTCGCATCGAATTCGGTGAGGCCGTCGTGACCGCCTGCTGCTTGGCCCCAGGTGTCGCCCTCTGCCGTCGCCGCGCTTGTGTGGCAGTACCGCTCGTCCCGCCATCCGTACCCGCTGCAGCTGTCGTCATCGTCGTCCTCGTCGTCCCGCAAGCCGCAAGCCGCCATGGACGCCGCACGCATGGAGGGGTGCGTCAGCAGCAGCGCCTTGAGGCGCTGGGAAGAGACGTGCCTAAAAGGGGTCGGAGTGTCGATGGTGTTGACTGAAGGTTTGATCGTGTGTGCTCGATCTGCCTTGAATGTACATCCAAGATGCACTGCTTTTTATTCCCCGGGCAATGAGCCCGCGTGCGGCAAGCCCGCTGCTGGGCATGACGTCGGCCTGCGCCAATTACATCTGTACGTACATCATGCCGCGATCGCAGCCCCACCTGCCGCTTGCGACGTCGCGCGCTGCGTCGTCGTCCCACCCGCAGCTGCCGAGATCGCCGCGCCCCCGCGGGCCGCCGCCGAAGCCAACGCTCCCGCCGCCCTCCCCAAGCTGCGCCGCGCATGCGTCGCAGTCAGCAAAGCAGCACGCGGCGCGCCCTGCTGCCTGGCAGCTGGCGCACGAAGGCCGACGGCTGTCACAGGCCATGCAACCCGCAGCCACGCACGCAACGCCAGGCTCCGTACAAACTGTCCAGCAACCGGTGCTGCCGGGCGCGGGGCTCCACGGCCGGTCAGTCCCCAGCGCCCAACCGGGCTGGGCGCGGCTGGTGTTGGCTGTGCTGCCAGAGCCCTGTGACAGGCTGGTTGTGCTGCTGCTGAGGCTGCTGCTTCGGCTGCAATCACCGCCGCTTCTGTCACAATTGCTGATCGAAAGGATAGAAAGGCCGAGCAAGGTTGCCATGCCGGTGGTGGTTCGAGCGTCCCTGGTCTGAGTGGATCGCTGTCACCGCTGCCTCGGGTGCGGTTGCGAAAGGGCCGACTCAGCTTCCGAAGCTGGATCACGAGGGAATGTGAATAGATTCGCCCTTTACAGATGTATCCCCCCGCAGCGTGAGAGTCTACACGTGCCAGTGGAAGATACGCGTGATGAAAAAGGGCGCGCGCGCTCCTCCGCGGCAATTTCAAAAGCACCAACGTTGCATACAACAACTCAAGCGAACTTTCATGTGAATCATTGCACGTGCCCTTCTACTCTGTCAGTCTATCAATACTTTGAAAGGTTCAACCGCCAAGAAATTTGAAAACTCATCTGAATCCTGACGGTCTCCCGTGTGTGCCTATTATCAGTCTGTACAACGTCCAGCATAATTGACTCGGTTGTAGCTGTCTGAATCTCTCTCTCTCTCTCTCTCTCTCTCTCTCTCTCTCTCTCTCTCTCTCTCTCTCTCTCTCTCTCTTTCTCTCTGTTAGTCTCCGCCCTTTCAGCCAGTACCACACCTGGTGACCGCTGGGCACTGGCTATGTGTACAGCATGGTGCTGGTGTGCTCACTCTGCAGTCATAATCTGGTCTCTTGCGACCGGGTAGTGCCTCCACGATTATCATGAGGGTCATCTGAAGCATCAAGCGGTGCGCTTCATTGCTGCAACCCCCCCCCCCCACACACACACACACAAGCAGGCGCGTTCGGGAAATGTCATTACAAGGTTCCAGAAGGCACACATTGGTTCCCAGCATGGAGCCATGAAGCAGGTATCATACAACAATCAAGCCCGTTGGACCTCATCTAAACGCATTGCACCGGCGAGGGCGGCATGGGCCCACACCGCAGGCAGCGCTGGGTGGGGAGCAGGAAAGGGCAAAGGAGTTGAGCGGGACGCGCGCATTGCGAGTCGGTGTCGGCAGCGATCGGAGCAACAGCATGCAGTGGTTACTACTTCATTGCAGGCTGGTAAGAAGGCCAAAGCTCTGTTTGAGGGAAAGCCAACTAAAACATCCCGGCCCTCAAACCCTAGAGGGTTGCAAAGCTGAAGCAGGCTTGAGATGCAGGTGCATACGGTACGCTAAGAAACCCAGATTATTGATGGTGAGGACACCTCCCCAAGTTGTTTCATAGCCGTGGCGACCGCGGCATGTCTGGTCGGCTCAGTAAGCAGGGCACGTAATGGCCGGCGGTCGAGCTGACCCGGCAAGCAGCTTTCTTAAGCTGGCGCGGCGGGCGTCGATCATACGCCGCAGCCCTTCATGTATGTACAAGATGGTTTTTATGAGGCAAAACGGAACAGCGGCGCGGGCTCCCCTACTTGGGGCGGTCACTGGCCCTTCGACCCTTTCAAAGGGCGACTTCAATCGTGCGTTCTGGGGCGCGCGCTCCTGCCGCCCGAAACTTGCCGCTCGCCTTCGCACCCAAGTTGCCGCCGCCGGGCGCCCCGCCCGCCTCTGGCGGCGCAGCTGCTACCGCCACCTTGCCCAGCTTTGACGCCCGCGCGGGGCGGCGCGCGCCGCCCAGTGGGTGCGAGCGCGGCTGCTTTGCTAGGGCAGTGGCCAGCGCCAGGTGCCCGAGCACTGACATCGCCGCCAACTCCACGTCACTGCTGCCGCCGCTGGAAGCCAGCATCAAACGGCCCGCGTCGCCGCCCGCGTCGCCGCGCCTGGCGGCCGCTGCCGGCTGCGCGGGGCGCGCCGCCGCTGGCCGCTGCATCAGGCCCAAGGGGTCGCGCTCGGCGCCAGCGGCGAACGCGACCGCGCCTAGCGCGGCGTGGCGCGGGGAGCTGGGGTTGCTCGGCGCGCCGCCGCTCGAGGTGCGGGCGGGGGCGCCTTCGCCGGATGACACGCGCCGAGTGGGGCCCCTGGCGTGGATGCGCACCCGGACCAGGGTGGCGCCCTCGTCCGCATCATGCAGAGCGCACCTCACTGCCGCTCTCGATGCCATACTGTCTTTCTAGTACACTACTGTGCGTGCGTTGGCGCAAGGGTGAGGGAGGTGGGTGTTGCGGCAGCGGGCCAGGCGCCATGCACCTGCAGGCGCAGCTGCCGCGGCGCATGGCACCTGCGTGTGCTGCCTTCAGGTCGGAGCATCCGGGGCCGAATGGTGTCATAAATGGTGTGCCAAAGGTATGATTTTAGCGGCGTGTACGGCCTGCTTTGCTTGCGCGCCCTCGGACAAGGTGTACTCGCCTAGATTCTTGCCCCGCGCAGTAGCACCTCTGAGAGACTTTGTAAGCGCGCAAGATTTTCGAATGCAGATATTTTCTACTGTTTCCATTATACTGCATTGCGTGAAAGCACAAGTGGTGTGCTGGCAAAAATGCATTCATTGTGCCTGCCGAGCTGCCCAAGGTCGCCAGGCGGCGCAGTGTAGGCGATGTCGCAGCACCCCACATTTGGCTCCATCCCGTCCTCATCCAAGACCTTGCTGTTGTTACAGGTATGGCTGGAGGCATCACTGCCCCAAACAATGCAAGTCGAGAGTACAAGGGAGGCATCCGCTCCAAGAAAAATCGCCCCCACCGCTCAGTGCACACACACGTGTCGCGCCCTGCGCGGGCGCCGTGCATGCTAAGACTCGCAGGTGCGATGGCCAAAATGTGAGGGGCGGAAGGGAAGGCACCCACGCAAGCGCGTGTGCATGCCGAAACGACGCCTGCCCTGCCCTCACTGCTCTTCGCTCGCGCGCGCGCCGATGCATGCCGCTGCCGCCCGGCTGACGGGGCCATACACACTCCCTAGTCTACGCGTGCACACGCAAAGCGAACTATCAGCGTATCCTCAGTTCGACGCCGCAGCCTGCTTGATGATCTCCCGTTCCAGGTCCCGCAGGATATTTGAAACCTGCCGCGTAAATATCCCCTGGGTGTACTGCGAAATCGCCGCAGGGATGGGCATCGTTGGCTTGACAGCCAGCACGTGCTCCACCCGCGCGCCGCCGCCGCCGCCCCCGCACGGCGAGACCTGCCAGCGGCCCTCGAAATCGCGCATGAAGCTCGAGCGCACGAGGCGGAAGACGAGCGAGCGCGCCGCGGCATCCTCGGACACGCTGAGGTGGACATTGAAGCTGCCGGCGAAGGCGAGGAACCGCCAGCTGCACGCCTGGCAGAGGAGGGTGTGGGGAGGGCCGCCAGGCAGGGGGTTGGGCGGGCAGTTCGGGAGGTTGCAACGGACACTGAGAGGCGCGCGTGAGCGCGGCAAATGCACTCAAAACTTATAAAAGCGCCAAAGCGGTGCACCGGCTTCTGTGCGGCTCCATGGAGGGCCGCGGTTTGCAGAGCGATAGGCGCCGCCCGCACCCGTGCCCCGTGCACCTGTATGACCTGCTTGGCCCCGTCCTCCTCTATGGTAGAAGAGGCACTGATGTTCTCAAACACCTGGGGTTTGGGCGCACGGGCGGGCACAGCATATAGGCGAGCGCGGGCATGTCCGCAGCAGAGAGTACCATGATGCGGTGGGGCGTCCAGAAGCTTTGGCTGGCAGCACCCTGCCTTGCGCCACACAAGGACAGGATCCATGGCTGATGGGCCAGTGGCCGCGCGCCACAGCAAGCGGAAAGCAGCCTCTTGCAGGGCTTGCCCTGCTGGCGACGCGGCTGCGACCGCGCCCGCCGTTGCCCTCAGGTGGGCGCGACAATCCTGTTGCTGCAGGCAGCACCCACGCTCAGCGTCCCAAGCGCGGCTGACACGCATCATGGCGAGGATCAACAGGCCGCCAAACACAGCAGAGCTTCAAGTTAGCCCGCTCGTCCGCTCAGCCTCGCGCCCGCCCGCACGCCCTCCCCCCCCAACACACACACCTCGCTGCATCGGTCATAATCTGTCAGGATCTTGTAAACGAGGTCTGGGTGCGCGTCGACCTCGATCACACCCCTGACTGTCTGCATTCCATTGAGGACGCCCATGAACTCCACTTGCAAATCCCGAAGCGGCGCGACTGCCGCTTCAGCGACGCGCACTGCTGTGGCTGCCGCGGGTGAAGGTGCCCGCCGGGGAGGGGAGACGCCGGATCCCGGCGGCGCGGGGGCCACGACAGGCTGCTGCTGCTGCTGCTGTTGGGGATTGCCGCCGGGGCGCTGTTGCAGCTGGGCGGCGCACGAGAGGCGCGGCGCCCGCGCGACACGTGCATTGCATCGCACAGCTGGTGCGCCGTGGTGGTGACGTCGACCCGCGGCGAACGGGCCTGGCAGCGCTGTGCGTGTGAGCCCAGACATTCTGCCTCGAAATTAGACACCCCCGGCGGGTGTTGCTACGGCTCAGACTAAAGATCCAGTTGAGCTTGTGGTCGGCCGCGGGTCTGATGCAATGCGTGGGGATCAGGACGTCTTTAACAATAGATCCGCTTGAAATAATGAGGGTACAAAGCGTCACTCAGGCCGTTCCGCTCGGCTGCCACGCGTGGTTCAGCAACGCTGGAGAACGGTCGCAGTCAATCCAACTCGTACAGCATGCTCTGGCTGGCTTCTGCGGCTGTGTACGCCGTGGGTTTGCCACTACGAGACAGCGGAGACCTCGGCAGCTGCGATGTGGGTGACGACGCCGTCGTGTCTGTGGCGGCGACTACAGGTGTGTCCGGTCGCCGCGTCGCCAGAGCTGCGCCAGCCGCAACCTTGCGCTCCCGTTGCAGCTTGCTGAGAAGCCAAAGGTCCTCCAATCGCTCCACCACCGCGACGCTGGGGTTGGCCTGCGCCAGTTTGACCAAAGGCAGTGATGTCACTTCCCATTGACCTGCGCTCCACCCCAGTCACCCCCTCCATCGCGCCCTCTCCTGCTGCGCCCTCTCCCAGGCTTCGAGCCCCGCCCCAGCCCCACTCCGCCCACCCCTCTCTGCCAGTGTCCGGCCCGCTCACCGCCACAAATGCAGCCTCTGGTGCTGAGTCGGCAGCAGACGGGTCCGCTCCGCTGCCAGTGTTGTCGAACCCTGTCATGTCGCCATCGCCCGCGCCATACTCCCGCGCCGCCACCTCGCCCCACCAACCCACCACGTCCCGAACCCCAGCGCCCTGCTTCGCGCTCGCCCGCGCCTCCGCCCCACCCGCGCACGCGTCCGACACCCGCACGCCGAACGGGCTGCCGCGCACGTGGCGCCAGGCGCCGCCGGGCCCGGCGCCGCCGCCGTCACTGCCACCAGGCCGCTCGCCCGCGGGGGCGGTGATGGGTGCCGCCGGCCCTGTTGCCGCGAGTGCCATCACCTCCAATACATATAGTCCCGCGCGCTCCGCTGTGAACGCGCACTGCCACCGCCCACCATCCCCTGGCGCGCTCTCGACCGCCGTCACCGCCCCCGCGCCGCCGCCGCCCGCGACGAGCTGCATGCTCAGCGGCAGCGCCGCGGCGAGCGCCGCCGCGCTCAGCCCGTCGCAGGCGTTTCCGAACGCGTCTCGCGCGACGACAGAGAACGTTGCCCGCTCGCCAGCGGCCGCCGCGCGGCGGCCGGCGCCCTCGGCGGTGCAGCGGGCGGCGCAGGGGGGGCCGGGCAGCACCCGCAGGGGGTACGGTGAGTCTGCGACGTGCGCCCCATCGCCTGTTTTGCACGCGGTATGGTTGAAAGCGGTACGTATCAAAGGTAGATCGAAAAACGCTGTACAGCTTTGAGTCAGGCGCCCCGGCCGCGCTCAGAGCAAAGGTCTGGGCGGTAACCGTTACCCCCAGCTGTGACAGCTGGCCAGCGGGTGAAGGGTGCAAGCTTCGGCCGCAGCTCGAGCCCAACCCCCTCCCGCCTCACCGTCGGTCACCGCCAGCAAGTACCGCCCCGCGCCCTCCAAGCGGTACGCCACCTCGTACCGCCCGTCGCCGCAGTCGCGCACGCGGCCCGCCCCCACGACTTCCAGCCGCCCGGCCTTCGCGCCCGCAGGCTGCTCCCCGTCCCCGCCGGCCCCCTCGTCGCCGGCCCCGCCGCCCTCAGCCCCAGGCGGCGCTTGCAGCGCGGCGCTGGCAGCGGATGTGATCATGGCGGCGTCTGGGGCGGCTTGGGGGGTCTCCCTGAGGAGCGTAACCACGAAGGCGTCGCCGCCGCTCAGCCGCGGGTTGTCGTCCTCGTCGCGGGCCTGGGCGCGGGCGGCGCCGCGGGCGCGCGCGGCGTGTGGGTGCATCAGTCCTGGGCACTTGATGGCGCGTGGGCGCGCCTGGGATGGCCCAAATGGATGGCTACAGGAGCGGGCGGCCGCAGGACGCTGCAACAACCCTGTCGTTTCATCAAATACACGCGGCGCGGTGAGGCGGCCGACACACGACACCTCCTCCAAAAAGAGGCTCGGCTGTGGCAGTTGCAAGCGCTACACTTGGCATGCCTCCCTCCTCCCTCTAACAGCCGCGTGAGTCGCTTACTCATGATGCACCAAGAATTGGTGCGCCGCCAGACAATTTCAGAAAAGCCCCTGCAACATTTCAAGTGGCCCCGAGGCATGCATGCACACGGACGCGCACACACGCGTGTAATACAGCAGGCCACGCTTGCCCGCGCATCCTCGGCGCCCCCCACCTGGAGCCTGAAACCCGCCTCCTCCCCTGCCACCGCCCGCGCCAGCCCGCGCCCCCGTAGCCGGCAGCGTGCCGGATCCGCGGCGCTCTGGAGCCACGTCCCCTCCTCCCAGCGGCCGCGGAAGCTTGCGCCGTCCGCAAACACCATCAGCCCGACGCCGTGGCGCCTCCCCGCCTTCCAATCTCCGTGGTACCTGTGGTTGGTGATTGCCACTTGTTGGGTCCAGGATTACACTTACTGGGCGGAGCCAGCAAAAGGGCGTTTGCGACCTCTGCACGGCCCTCCACAGGCTTGGAAAAGCCCAGCAGTGATGACCCTGCGACAGGCTGGGGCTTGGAAGTGGGCGCTGCTGGCTGCAGCCGCAGCCACGCACAGCACATATGCGAACGCCTCCAAAGCCGCTTCATGCACTCGCACGCAGAGCCGCCATCCTCAAAACCGCACCTGCCGCCGTCGGCGTAAGCCATCGTCCCGATCCCCTCCATCGTGTCGCCCGCCCAGGCCCCAGCATATTTGTCGCCGTTGGCAAACGCGCAGCGCCCCTGGCCGGCGCGGACGCCTTCGGCCCAGGAGCCAGCATAGCGGTCGCCGTTGGAGTAGCGGCAGGCCCCTGCGCACGCGTGGCGATCAATTTTGCTTCGTCATGGGATATGACAGCTTGAGGGTACTGAAAGGGCGTCCACAACTCTGTGGAGGGATGAGCTGGATTGGGGCTTGAGCGTGCCACCAGCAGCACACACCACCTGGTCAGTGCATGCGCCATCGCCATCACCATCGCCGGCACCAGCACGAAGGGCCTGTCCCGCGTGCTGCACGGCAGCAGCCCTTGTCTCCCCGCTGCAGAAGCAAGCCCACGCCCCGCCCAGCACCCCTTGAGTAACCCGCACCGCGTGTCCACTCACCCTGCCCGTGCCGCTTGTCGCCGCGCCACTCCCCCTCGTAGGTGGTACCATCTGACAGCTCCATCCTCCCCCGCCCGTGCCTCGCGTCGGCGCGCCAGTCGCCCACGTAGCGGCCGCCGCCGGCGTAGCTGCACTCGCCGTCACTGCCGTGGCGCATGTCGTGCTCGAATGGGCCTCTGCACCAGGCGCATGAGGGCGCGAGGGGACAGAGGGGTTGGCTTTAGCACCAGGCCTGACAGTCGCCTAAAATGCATGCACATGCTTGGCGTACAGCAGTGCGCCGCTCGCCTGGCGATAAGGGTGTGCGCGCCGCAGGCTGCTGCCAGCGGCCAACGGCAACTATGCTGGGAGAAGGCAGCGCCGATGCGTTCAAGTGGCCAGAAATTTTGCAGACACGCCAGCAAGCGCGCCTGTAGAGGTACAGCCCTTTGGCAACGGCGGTGCCCATGCCGTGTTGCAGCCCGTCCTTAAACCTTTCAACAGCAGCATGACGAGGATTCAGGGTGGAGGGTGAAGGGAGGGTGAAGGGGGTGAGGGAGCCGGTGCGGTGGGTTGGCTATATTGAAGATGCGCTGCAATAAGGCTGTGGTCAACACCAGGTCAAAGCGCGCCCTGTGCCCTAAGGTCCACTCCCATGCTGCCTAGAGGTGAGCCACCCACGCCAGCATACTTCGCAGGGCAGCCACAGCAGCCTAAGAGAACACATCAAAAAGGCGCGTGCTGGAATTAAGCCGCCATATGAATGGTGCAGGTGAGCCACGGGGGCGCACTTCCAGGCACTCACTCTCCGTCGTACTCGTACTCATGATCTTGCCCCCGCACCAGCCGCCCGCGAGTGCGCTGCCCGGCCTCGTAAGCCCCGATATAGTAGCCCTTGTCGCCCGCAAAGCACCACTTGCCCTGGCCTGCGGTGGGGTCGTCGGTCGAAGAGTTGTACAATGGATGCGCCTGCAACTTGGTCTTCACAGAATCAACAGGGCCCTGCCTATTCCCACACCCTTCCCTGCGAAGCCACCCAAAGCGGGGTGGTGCAACAGCCGAAGCAGCGATGCATTCTGAAATCATGAACCATCGCAGGCAAGCCAGCAGCAGGCCCTGCAACCACGAGCACACAAGAGTCACGCGCACCGTGCATCTTGTCGCCCCGCCACTCGCCCTCGTACGACTGCCCGTCTGCCGCGTCCAGCCGGCCCCAGCCCGAGCGCTGATCCTCTTCCCAGTCGCCCTCATAGCGGCTGCCGTTTGGGTAGGTGCACACCCCAGTTCTGCGGCAGCAACCGAGCGGATCGCACGCGCTGTTGTTGCATCACTACCCACGGGCATGAATATGTAGCCTGGTTGGCCCTCAGGGACAGCAAAGCCTCCTCCAGCTTTCACAATCATTGGCAAGCAGTACTCCGGCAGGCCCACTGCGCGCACCACCTGATTCTTGCGGCCCCTCCGCTCCCCATGACTTCTTGGCACGTTTTCACCCATGGCAGCCGCCCACCCGTTAGCCTTGTCGGCGAGCCACTCCCCGTCGTACCGCGAGCCATCCGCAGCCACAAACACGCCCCTGCCGTGCCGCTGGTCCAGCCGCCAGCCCCCAAGGTAGCTGCTGCCATCGGACCCTGTGTGGGTGCCGGCGCCGTGGCGGAGGCGGCCACCTAGCACCTCGCCCTGCCGCAGCAGATGCACGTGTGTGAGTGGGGGGGAGGGGGGGAGTAGCTAGAGTGTGTGTGTTTGTGTGCTCGCGCGCTTGTCTGTGTGCACACCTGTGCATGCATGTGCATGTGCGTGAGCGCACACGCTTGTGCGCATGTGCAGTTTTCAGGTGAGATGGGTTGCAGGTGCATGCGCGTGTGGCAGCAGAAGCCAGAAGGCGTGGCTGCAGCAAACGCGGCCGCAGACTTCGGTTGCAACCCGGGGCGTAAACACGTGATGGGGTTTCCCAGTGCAATGCCATTCTCCTGCAGGCTGCTGCGCGCAGTTGGCTTAGCCGAACCTTGGTCCTGAACTGAACGCTGTGGGCGACAGCATTTAGCAGCGCAACAGCCAGCTGATCCCATCACCTTGTACACGTCACCATTGGTGTAGTGAAGCTCCTCGTGCGTGACCCTGGGTTGCGTGTCCCCAACCAACGTGTCCCCAGCAGAGGCGGCGCCGCCCCGGAGCTTGTCCAACTCGTCGTCTGCTGCCGTCGCTTCTCCGCCCTCGGTCTCCTCCCACACACTGCAAAGCGGACCGTTCGGCGGAGGGTGTGCATGACGCTCTGCGGCCAGCTGTATTTGATGCAACCCCCGTTTTTCAAGAGGCGTGCAGTCTCCTGGTAGCGGGCCGTTGCCTTGGCCCCTCTCCCGCTCCCTGGACCTCACTACAGGCAAACCTTGCGCTCGGGTTGCGCCCATCTGGTGCCAAAGTGGCTCGGGCCCTGAGGTCCGCCAGGAAGGCCATCATATCAGCCACAACTGCCGCATCGCGCGCCGCCTGCGCTCCGCGGCCTCCCGGCTGCGCATCCGGCGCCATCTGCCAGTGGTACCGTGGGTTGGGCTTTCAAAGCAGGCGCAGCCTCGTTCGCAAGCCCTGCAATGATCACATGGAATTCGTTCATTGGATGAACATCGGCGTTCTGGATGAAAACGGCGTTTCGGACAGACAGGCTTTACCCGAGGAACGCAGGTGTGCCTCGGAGTCCGAAGCTCTTAAACCGCCCCTTGTTTGCGGGGTTTGCAGCCCCTCTTGCACACAAAGGACACTTGAAGAGATTTCAAGGAGCGAATGACCCTTGTCATCCCCGGTCCATGTGGGCGCCTGCTGCTCGTGAGCGTCTGATGATGTCTCGAGTCCTGAGGCTGGGGTGTCGAGCGCTGCGTGCCGTGGTCCCGCATATCCCATAGCTTGGCGCAGCTCACAACTTGCTGACACTTGAATGATGCTAGAGTGTAGCCGAGGAACGAGGGATGCTCTGTGCATGGCCCGCAACATCACTGAGCGGGCTGCAACGAGCTGCCCCCATTTGCTGCATGGAAGCAAGGGGAGTGGATGCGTTGCTGAAGGCGCTATGTAGCAATCAATGACAGTAATCAACTAGCGTGTTACACAAACAGTCCGCATGTCAGTAGGGGGATAGTGATGCGAGTCCCAGATGCAGGCGTTGACACTTGATGGCCATGATGAGAGGCAGCGTGCAGCATAAAATGTGGCACCACGAGTGCATTCTGCTGTACAGGCAGTCAGAGGAAACAATACGCAAGGCAATCAATAAGCAAGCAAAGCGGTCTGCTTCGGCAGCGGTCGGGCGTCCGTGCAACAGTCGTGTCACGCCGTCTTGGGGACATCACATGCGTTGGCGGCGTTGCCGCAACAGCTACGTACGGGGGAGCCGCCGTTAAATCCTGAGGGAGTGCCTTGGGCCGCATGCCCTGCCAATGGGGGATAAACGTGCATAGGTTTGACAGGGATGGGCGTTCAAAGGCGTCTGGCGCCATGTGGTCGTGCAGTGTGGGCAGCGTTTGATTCAACGGGCCGCGGGTAGGTAGTCTCTGCTAGCCAAATTTGTGATATCAACAGCCGAATGCAACGAAGGAAGCCGAGCGCGCATGAGCCCAACAGCAGTGGCTGCAGCGCAGCGGAATGTTCGTTGACATGCGGGGTGCGCCGCCACAGACTAAGACTGCAGTTTCTTGACGCGACCCCAGGCGCTGTACTTGCAGCGCGACACCACACGCTATCCAAAGCCGCCACAGGCTACTTTAAGCTTGCCACCTCAACCAAGCCCAGAAACACGTGCGATTTGGGAGTTTCCAGCCCCCATGGGCGGGCTGGATACGAGCCTGAGGCGGGCGAACGTCCTCAGGCTCGGCCCAGAAGAGCCAGCCGCCCGCGGTGGTGCCTGCGAGACCGCCCCGATAAGGGCGCCGTCAGCGACGCTCCTTGTACGCGAGCCGGCACAGGCCAATGAAGGTCAGCCCGTGCACGATCAGCAGGTAGATGACGAGTGACAGGGCGTAACCCCACACCGGCCAGGTGACGTCAAAATAGGCCAAGACCGCGTCGAGCGACATGATGCAGTCGGCGCCCGGCTGCACCAGCATGCGCTCGACGGCCGGGGTGCGGAGCAGCTTGGTGCGCGGCATGAGCGACTGCAAAAGAGGGCAGAGGAAAGGGGCGTGTTTGCGAGGATGCTCAGTGGGAAGAACACCAACCCAAAGGTGGAATGAGAAGCTAATGTTTGCGCGTTGTGCAGCGGCTGTTGGCTTGCTGGGCTCTTCTTTGGCAGCGACGCGCTCCGGCCCTGCATCCGCCCCACATTCGGCTGGCTTGCTTCCAAGACCCGTCAAGCGCTGCAGCACGCGAATCGCATGGTTCAAATAGACAGCCCCTACCTGCCCGCGGCCCCACCTGCAACAGCGTCACCAGGGAGGGCGCGATGCCGTTGGCGCAGGACACGTCCACACCCTGGAACTGGTTGCGCATGTAGGCTGAAAACGCGTAATTGGTGGCCGACACCCACCTGTGGATAGACATGTTGAGGGTTTTTGGTGAGGGTGAGGGTTGGGGTGGGAGTGGGGTTGATGAGAGGTGGGACCGGGGTTTGGGACAGTTGACAAGGGGCTGCTTGGGGAATGTATGACACAGATAGGGGGCGTGGAGGCGCACATTAGAGATAAGGGAGCCATGCGGCTGGGAGTGGGAGGACGCGCAGAAGACAGAGGGCAGCAGGACGAAGGGTGCACTCAGGTGAGGCGTGTGCCTGCTGCGACGCGAAGTGCCGAACGCACACCATCCCACTCCGCAGGCATCTGCATGAGCGCTCTCGCATGCTCACACAAGGGGATCCACCAGCACACCCGTGTGCAGACAAACACACAGTTCTTGTGTATGCATCAGCCTCACGCGCATGCACGCACATGCGACGTGCTTGCGTGCTCGTGCACACACACACACACACACACACACACACACACACAAAAACACAAACATAATACACAAACACACAAACACAAACAACCTATCACGCACACCCGCACACCCTCATAGCCCGCACCTGAGGAAGGATATCCACGGCTGCTGCATGTCTTGGAACCTCATGATGTAGTTTGACATCAGAAGGTTGACCGACGAGTACGTGATCGTCACCACGAACGCACCCTCCTGCAATGATGGGTTGCCAGCCAATCACCATCCCTTTAAGAGTTTGTCAATCGAAGCGAGGGGTTCACAGAGACCGTACCGTTGCACCCTGGAGCAAAGGACCGACGCGCACGACGCGCTCCGGCAAGCATTTGGTGCTGGCGCCGCTGCAGCCCTCGGCAATTCACATGTGACCATGCGTGTGCGCTGCTGCGCCTGCCCTTTGAACGGCGCACGGTAGCCACCTGAACCCCAGTCACACAACGTTGGTGCTTCACTGTACAATCCCATGAGCCTGGATGGCTCCAGGAGCGGGCGACCGCCGGACGCTGTAACAATCCTAATCCTGCCCTTGGGGCGCGAGCATGAAAACGAACGCGGGTAACCCCGCGCAACGCGCCATGCAAAACATGCCTGGTTTGGTGTGATGATGGCGGCCAGGGCCTGGACCTGCTGGGCTAGCAGGTAGTAGAGCACGCCAATGCCGGCAAAGGTGAAGAGGGCCCCAGGGTCCGTGCGCAGGCCAGCCATGCCCGAGACGATGAA